TAGATATTTAAAAATGTTAATGTTACTCCGAAATACGTAAAACTTGTCAGATTGTTTTAGACATTGGGAAAGTGTTGAAAGTTTTGTGGCAAATATATTGAAGAAGACTTATCTCTTATTATTAATTAACTTTATGTGGTGATGGTTGGGTGTTTACAAGGCTTTTTTAGTTAAGAGAAACAATAGGCCCTCGAAAAAGTTAAAAATGTAATTTTTTTAAATTTCACACTCCAAAGCCATATAAAGTCTATAGTTGTGAAAGTCCTCGATAAATTATCAACAACAAAGACTGGAATTGATAGCTCATACGTAATATACAACAATTCTACTTACTGATAGCAAATGAATAAATTTTTTTTTTTGCTTTGTTTCTACTTATCTAGGCGATATATCTCTATTTTATTTGAGTTATATAAAAATTTATCTCTGTAGGAGAGGTTCAAGAAAGAGTCTGGGAAAATTCGAAGATCTTCGAGAGATCCTTGAAGAATAACTTCGAATTCTCTAGAATATAATGAGCTGCAAGTGAGTTGCTAGATATTCTTCAATAATCTCAACTTAGGACACACAACAAAGAGATGATGGAAGATACAGCAGATTTGGTGAAGAAGAAGGCAAAATGGCTAGAGAATAGAATAATGGCAAGGCTCCCAGGGATCTCCACTTTCACTCCAAGGTGATAATGGAGAAGGATTAGTTTCTTCCCAGAGTTTTAAAAATCTCAAAAATCCATCCCTGTAAAGCTTGGGTGGGGCTATTATAGGCCACCTCAATGATGTAGGATGGAGCCATGTGCAAGCACATGGGATATCTCTCTAACCACCTTGTCCGAGGAGGTGACCTCTCCGAGGAGGTGACTTCTCCGAAGGATGAGAAAACCCCGAAGAGGAGATCACCCCTCGCGAACCCTCCTCTGTAGCCACACCTAACCAATGATCCCCAATCATCCCAAAGGGTCAGGGGTAGTCCCAAGAGGACGTCCTGCCTGCAAAATATGCCCGAGTCTCATGGACCCCCCGGGGTCGTGCACCTCGACCGGGTATAGCTAAGTTTTAACCAAAAAAGAGTGAATTACTCCACTCCCGTCCTCGGTCGGTCTTGTTCGACCTCCATTACCCCATGGTTCTGGTGCGAGATCCCCGGAATCTCCGAGCCGCAATTGGTGTCTGGACCCATTAACGGAGCGGCTTCCTAGATTGCATCTGAATCCGTTCGAAGCCCAAGTGCTTTCGGAACTCTAGATTCGTAGGTCGAATCTTCGGCCGCATGCTCGTATCTCTTAGGTTGTTCAACACCCTTGACCCTTTCGAGTCCGGGCCCGAGTAAGTCTCTAAGTCTCTAAGTTCGTGGATCCGAACCCCTTCGAGGCTTAGAGCGATTCAGCCCGTTTGATGGCGATAAATCTGGGCCCATCGATTCTTGGACTTGCGATAAATTCGGGCCCACTAATCTTGGGCTATTGGGCCTAAATAATTTAGTGGGCTCAAATTAGCCCCTCTTACAATCTCCATATACTCCTTTAATTTGATAAGCCTTTGACATTTTCGGTTTAATATTAAAGACTTTAAAATTTTGGGCCTTGTCAAAATCTAAAACATAATATATGATCCCAAAAGAAGTCAACCCCCCAAAACATTGTTTGTGTTTGGTTTGAGTTTTTTGGATTAAGTTTTTTGAAAATTGAGATTTTATTTTTCGTGTTTTTTTTTTTTATTTTTAGTGAATATTTTAAAATTTTAAGCATTTTTTTTTACTTTTTTGGATGCACCTTACTTAGATGTATCAAAAAAAAATTGTGAAAAAATATGAAAAATATACGGAATTCTCGTATTTTTTTTTTATATTTTTGATATTTAGTGAATTTTTAAAAGATTTTTTCACAAAAATTATACTTTTTATGTGTATTTATGTTAGGCGTGCCTAAAAATTAAAAAAAATTCAATAAAAATAAAAAAATAGATGAAAAATAAGAAAGTAAAATTTTTTGAAAAATGTTTTTAGAAAACTAAAAGCAAGCAAAGTAGGATTTTTGGCGAAACCTTCTTTTTAGGCTTTTTTTTTCAAAGATAAAAGACAACTTAATTAATTTAGTTTCAAAGAGTCCTTGAGAAAAAGGAAAGTAGCTCGGGAATGACATATCATAATATTTTGTTTTTTTGTTTTTTTATGGGCAATACTGCCCTTTCATATATATATATATATATATATATACTAGTATATGAACCCGTGCAATGCACAAATTAAATAAATAATTAAAAATAATTTTAAAATTAAATAGTAACATAATTTTTTTAAAAAAGTATAAAAAATAATTTAGAATAAATTGATTTGAACCATTTTATTAGATTGTATATTGCAGTTGTCATAATTTAATTGGTAAAGATGAAAAAATAGAATAAATTAAAATATATATATATATGACAAAATAAAAATAAATTTCATTTTATAAATTTTTTAATTTTAATTTACTCTATGTTAAAATTTGTCATAAAACTTAAACATACCTTTTAAAAATAAAACAATATATATTGATAAAATCATTAAAATCAGTCAAAAGACTAACCAATTTATACAAAAATTAATTAATTAAAAATTTTAAATTTTATTTTATTTTAAAATTTAAACTATTTTCAACTGAAACATGCACAACACTATAATATTAAATGGGAACATATGTTTACTTTATATAACTGAAACAACCAATTTTTTTTTTTTTTTTTTTTTTTTTTTTTTTGGTTGCCTTCCTGGGAATCATTCCAATTACAAAATTTATCTCTTCTCAAAATTTACTTCACATTGAGCCTTTTATGGATAGCATCACTTAACACTACTAAACATGTGGCTTGGTAGGTTGTTAAAACATCACCAGATATGTTTTTGCTTGTTGCTGACATCTTGGTGTGTATTTATGAAGATCTTTAAGATGACTACTAATGTGATGCTCAATATTGCTAGAGATTATTGGAGTTAGATTTATCTGATATAGGACACCATAACTGGATTTTTACTTTACCTACCCCCTTTCCTTCCTCAGTTTTTCCCACCAAATGAAGCATGATGCCTATAAACTAATTAACTAGCAAACTTAAATCCATTTAATGGATTTTCCTTTATAGTAGACTAGAGGTAGAAAAAAAAAAACAGTTTCAAATGATGTCAACCAAAAAACTGAGTACACATGGGCATAGTTACATAATGAATTAAGCATTAAGTTATAGTTAGAAACCATTATATGTGTTTTTTAGATAAAACTGGAGTGTTCCAATTGACCACTTCAACTTCTTACATATCAATGCTTCAGTAGGGCTCTAGAAAAATGGATCCAAATTGCACACATATTGTCAAGAAACTCAAAAATTTTGATCTACCACAAACATTTATATTGAAAGCTGACAGTATGTTTTCTCTTTTATTTAATTTTCTTTTTCTTCTTTTCTTTCTAAAGGTGAAGTGAATCTAAGGTTATTATAGACAATTAAAACCAAATTGAATTTTAATGGAAAAATCAACGTGATAAATGAGGGTCAATCCACTATTGATACCTAAATCCAAAATCACAACCTTGTCCAAAAACCCAAAAAATAAAATAAAAATAAAAGTATGACCAAACAGTAGATAGGCCTAGATTAAACCCACTGGCTCTGTTTACTTAAAGATGCAAGCAGTTCCATACTTTCCTTAGTTCCTACCAAATATATTTATATTTAAATCTATAACAACAAAAAAATTAAAATCTGGAAAAAAAAAAAAATTCTCCATTGAAATTCTCCAAATTCAGCTGGTGAGTCATTTGATTTGGATTGACCAACTACATGTCAATATAAAAGTCTTGGCTAGCAGCTGGACTGTTTTAGAGATTCACAATAATTTTTTAGAGCAATAACAAAAAGAAAGGGAGTGTTCTAAAGACAGGATCCCTTCAAATAAGAACTATATTTGTTTTTAATAGCAAAAATACACACACCCACAAAAAATAAAAAATAAAAAATAAAAAAATAAAATAGCCCTATTAAGCAAGGCTAGGTCTATTTGCTTTAGAAGTTAGATTTTTGCAATTCTAAATCATATTCTTCTTTTCGATTTTTTATGATTATATAATTAGAATTTAGAGCTTAATGTCTTCAACATTTTTTTTTATCTTCCTTAACATTTCAAATGTATGACTAGCCTCTTTTTCAAATTACAAAATTTACATCTAGCAGGCATATTATAAAATTACTTTTCACCTACTTGTCCTGTTTGAGCGTTTAACTTTTTCCCTTATCTAATTAGCTTGTTTCAATGGTTTTGAATTAGCCAATCATAGTATTGTCTTTAGGTTCACTACTGAACCTCATGCTTCTTTGACTAATGCATTCCTTCATTCCTTCATTGCTTTTTTAATTTATTTTTTTTTAGAAAATTGTTGTCCATGAATTTAATGCATAGTACACTTGTAATGTTTTGTTTGCCTAGTAATGTGATTAAAGGAAATTCAACATTCATGTATGCCCTTTTGTTTGTTGAATCTAAAGACAATTAAAGAAAATTTATCATCAACATAAAAACTTTGAAATATTCCACCCTTTTAATTAGTTTAGCAACCATAAAGCAAATACCCAAACTGTCCTAAGTCCTATCAAATGGGGTCGACAGAGTAAAAAATCATAACTCATAAAAATTAAATTGTTACATAAATTGTGAAAATGAAATCCAAGAAAACAATAAAAAATAAAATGAATTGTATAAATATAAAATAGTTCAATTTTAGGAAAGTATATATAAGGAAAGTCATATAAAAATAATTCTATTATGTGTGCCTACACTAAATTGTGTAGTGCTTTTTTATGTTAGTACATATAACTCTTTATATAATATATTTAACTTTTTATTTTGTTTCATGGTACTTCAATTTAGTTAATTATCAATCAATGGATAAGAGTTGGATGAAGAAGAGTAGATTGTCAAGAGATTATGTGCAAGGGATTAAAGAATTTTTGAAGTTTGCTTCTCGCAAAGTATCTAATGATGGAACAATTACATGTCCATGTATGAAATGTGTGAATTCATACATGTTGATCGTAGAAGTTGTACATGATCACTTGGTATCATATGGAATTAGTCCGGGTTATAATTGTTGGTATCATCACGGGGAAATTATGTTTGCAACGACTTCTAGTAGAACTAGTCAAAGCCATGTTGAAGAAATACGACCTGAGTATGGTGATATCCGTGACGTGTTGCGGGACGTGTTTCCCATGCACACCCAAAATATGGATGAACATGTAGAAGAAAGTAATTTACCAGAACCATATGATCAAGGTCCAAGCATGCAACGAGCTCAAGAAGATCCTAATGAAGATGCACAAAAATTTTATGACTTACTAAAAGATGTTGAGAAGCCTTTGTATGAAGGGTGCAAGAATTTTAGTAAGTTGTCAGTGATTGTGCATCTATATCACTTGAAATGTCTTAATGGATGGAGCAACCATTCATTCACAATGTTGCTTCAAATTTTGAAAGATATGCTTTCTTCAGATGCAAATTTGCCGAAAGACTTTTATGATGCCAAGAAGATTATTAAAGATTTGGGTCTGGGTTATGAAATGATTCACGCTTGTCCTATTGATTGTATGTTATTTTGGAAGGAACATGCAAATGATGAAGTGTGTCATTGTGGTGCTTCAAGGTGGGCAACAATTGAGAATGATTTGGAGCATAATACGAGTACGCCATCTAAAAAGAGAAAGAAAAAGTCCGCAAAAGTTTTACGGTGGTTTCCCTTGAAGCCTTGATTGCAGAGGTTGTTCATGTCTTCAAAAACAGCTACTTCTATGAAATGACATGCTAAAGGTCGTACAAATGATGGCATAATGAGGCACCCTGCCAATTCTATAGCTTGGAAAACATTTGACTCTCAATATGTAGATGTTTCCTTTAACTCCCGCAATGTCAGGTTGGGGTTGGCATCAAATGGATTTAACCCTTACGGAAATATGAGTACTAGTTATAGTATATGGCCGGTCATATTGGTCCCATATAATTTGCCTCCATGGATGTGCATGAAAAGATCTTCTTTCATTCTATCATTGCTTATTCCTGGTCCGAGCTCCCCATCAAATGACATAGATGTGTATATGCAGCCTTTAGTTGAAGAATTGAAGGAATTAAGGGATGTTGGAGTACAAACTTATGATATTTCTTCCAAAAAGAACTTTCAAATGCATGTAGCTCTAATGTGGACTATAAATGACTTTCCCACATATGGTGATTTGTCTGGTTGGAATACCAAGGGTGCTCTTGCATGTCCTTCTTGTAATTATAAGACTCATTCTCGATGGTTAAAACATGGAGAAAAATATTGTTTTATGGGCCATAAGCGTTTCTTGGATAAAGATCATAGATTTTGTAAAGATAGAGTATCATTTGATGGCAAACAAGAAATAAAATCAGCTCCCAATATGCTATCTGGCTTTGAGATCATGATGCAAACAGAAGACCTGGATTACAAATTTGGAAAGACAAAGGCAAATGAAAAAAACAAAAAAAAGAAAGAAACAAGCGAATGATGATGAGATACAACCATGGAAGAAAAGAAGTATATTTTTTACATTGTCGTATTGGGCAAATCAAAAATTGCGTCATAATCTTGAGGTGATGCATATAGAGAAAAATGTGATTGATAATGTTTATGGAGCATTGTTGAATTTAGATGGGAAGACAAGGGATAACTTGAAGGCATGTCTTGACTTACAAGAGATGGGTATAAAACAGAAACTTCAACCACAAAAGATCAGTTCCAATAAAACATATTTGCCTCCAGCTTGTTTCTCAATGATTTTAAAAGAGAAAGATGACTTCTTGAAGGTTTTGAAAGGGGTAAAAGTCCTAGATGGTTATGTTTCAAATATTTCACGTTGTATCCAACTTAGACAATGAAAGATTATAGGTTTGAAGAGTCATGATAGTCATATTTTGATACAGCAACTTCTTCCTATCGCATTACAAGAAACATTACCAAAAAAAGTCGTTTCACCTCTAATTGAGTTATCTTGTGTCTTTAGGGAACTGTGTTCCAAAGTCTTGTAAGTGGAAGAGCTTGACCGACTTGCAATTCGAATTGTAGTGACTTTATGCAATTTGGAGAGAATCTTCCCTCATTTCTTCTTTACTATTATGGTGCATTTAGTTATCCATTTGGCCACTGAAGCTAAAATTGCTAGCCCAGTTCATTATAGATGGATGTATCCTATTGAGAGGTTAGACATGACGACTTGTATCCATTTGGGTTTTTAACCTATATCACATTGACATCCAAGTTAGTCGATATATAATTATACTGTTTTTCATGTAGGTATCTCCAACGACTAAAATCTTATGTTCGTAACAAAGCCCATCCAAAGGGCTCTATTGCAGAAGGATACATAGCTGAAGAGTGTTTAATATTTTGTTCGCGGTATCTACAGGGGCAATAATGAATATCGAACTTGATCAAAAGTCATGGATACAAGCGCATCATTATGTGTTATTTAACAATGATGAAATTCAACCATTTTAGATGTAAGCAATATTTAATGAGTTATGGTATATATATAAGTTTGAGTTTCCCATTTTAATACTTGCATTAGTAACACAAGTTAGGTTTGCATATACAAAGAACACAAGGAGCATATAAAGAGACAAAGTCGTATACGTCATCTAACTGATGAAGTTCTTAATAAGATGCATATGGAAAAGTTTTGTGAGTGTTTTCAATCATATGTAAGTGTGTAGCTATTAAATAATACTATTACCATATACAATTTTTAGCGTAGATATTAACGTAATCATTTTAATGGATCCTATAATATATCAGGTTTTAGCTATGGATGACACAATAAAGCAACAACTTACTGATGAAATCAAGTGGCTTGCTCAAGGCCCAAACACTCTAGCTAGATGATTCAAATGACACGTTGTTAATGGTTTTAAGTTCCGAATTAAAAATTACGAGGAGGGGAAGAAAACTCAGAATAGTGGGGTTTGTGTAGCCACTGAAGAAGGCACCATGTGTTATAGTGTTTTATTAGATATCATTGAGCTGAATTATTTTGACAAGTTGAAATATGTACTATTCAAATGCAATTGGGCTGATGTGAACACAGGCAGAGGCTAGAAGATAGATGAATTTGGTTATAACCTTGTGAATTTTTCTCATTTGATACATACTGGAGAACAATTAAATGATAAACCATTTGTCTTGTCATCTCAAGCTTCACAAGTTTATTATGTGGGAGATGTAAGGCATGAAAATTGGTTAGTTGTTGTTAAAACAAAAGCGAGGGATGTGTTTGATGTTGGTACTAATGAATTGTGTGATGGTGATGTTGACGCTTACTATGATAACGAGCCTTATAATATGATCGTTGAAGACACTCATGTGGATGCGAATGAAAACCTCAATTGGACTAAAAATGATGCAGATGGAACGACAATCAATATACCACTTCCACTTGATAACTAACTGATCGATGAAGATGATTTAGATGAGGATGTCTAGTTGTTGAGTAGAACTAGTTTGATTTTAATTTATTTATTCTCATGTTAATCTTTGAAACATTATTTGGTTTTGAATATAAATTTCAAATTTCTTAGTTTCATATATGTATGGCAACCCATGTTTTGCATTTTTTTATTTCTTTTTTGGATTTTTGTCCTGCTTTGAGGAAAAACTAGTTTCTAATGTCTATTTACTTAAGTAGCAATTTTAGCCTCACGAACTCTTAAATAGGCATTTGAATGAAAATTTGAAATTAAACTCTGTTTAAACTTAACCATTTATTAGTTGGTGCAAAAAGTGATAGCAAATATGAATCACCAATTAATGAGGACACCTATACTTCTTCTAATTGATAACTGATGATTATTATTATTTTTTTTAATGTTTGTTGTTAAATATAGCTATTAAAAACTTGGACTGGAAAATCAGCATCTTTACATTCTTGCTTTTATGCTCTCTCTGGTTTTAACTTTTAGTTTGCGAATGTAGGTATATCATATCTTGAGAAGAAAGAAGTCTGTACCTGCCTAAGAGAGGTGAGTACAATCATGTATGTCTACACTTGTCTGATGTAGTAGTATTATTGTGTCATGTTATGTTATTGAGTTAATCTTCTCAGTTTATTGCTCCAGTATCTGCTTAACAAATTTGTATGTGTTTCCTCATTAGTAGTTAATATGCCGAATGTAGGTAGAGATGTGTGTCTTGATTTATTTAGATACCAGGGTCAGCTTATTTATTTATTTATTTTTATTTTTAATACTATTATGCTGTCCATAGGGGCTTTTGTTTGGGCAATGATAAGTGGTTAGGTTCTTATGTGCGAGTTTTCAGCGGCCTCTGTTTTGTGGAAATAATGCCTCAACCATCAAAGCCCCTCAAATCAGAGACCCTCTGATATATGAAGTTACTGAACTTTAGGATGTACAATTGAATCAAATTGTTAAGCTTTTATTTTGTTAATTTTCGTCTTTACATGACACTATAGACCGCCCGAACTCCGTTCCGCGCGTGAAGGCACGAATTGTAGTTCTAGCTACTACAGTTTGGACTCCTATCACGGTTTTGAATCTAATCTCACAAAGTGCAATGTAAGACTGATAAATCACCAAAGAGTCCAAATCCGGCAAATCATTTTGGAAAATCGATTTTATTCAAAAAGCGCCAAACAAATTTAAGAAACCCTGACTCGTGCCAAAGGCCACGTGTCCGTCATCACCAAAGTTGCCTCGGCTCGGGAACTTGGGTACGAGTGGGGAAGGCCATGAAATGAGCACCCCCGCTCGCCCGATCAAACGATCGGCCTCTACTAAGCATCATATGTTGTTTTATAAGCACATGTGTTCTTATTTCGGTTATTTAGCTAACTTACTATGTGATGCGCACAACATATAAGTATAGACCAAATCGCAAGAATTGGAACAAAACCACTCGTGTTTGTTTTTTTGAAGATAGTTTGAAAGTGCCACCCTCAAGTGGGCTTAAAACATGATGATTTGCCACTTCGCAAAGTGGGCTTAAAACTCACATTTGATGAATTGTCTCAATTCAAACAATAAAGCCTTCATCCCTAAGCATTCATGCATTTAATTATTTAGGCAAATAGCCTCATGGCAAGCATGCTATCATGGCAACACTCACACTCATGCAAGTATGCTAAAGCGTAAAACTTACGGTGTATTCCGAGCCAAAACAGAAAACTAGTTAAAAACAATGCATGATCCTAACTATGTTAAAATGCCTAATGCAACACATACAAAAATGCAACTAAGTAGGCTCGACTATCTAAGATGGCATATGAATGTAACACTTTGATATACGTATTCAAATATGTATTAAAATACAATGTAGTTTGTATGATGCGTCGAGCCCGGTGCATACAAGACAAATGAATGATGCACGCATACAAGCATAAGGTATGCTAATTGAAAATGTCCCTAAACTAACCATCAAAAGCTGATAAGTAAAAGGGAGAAAGAAGTAGGGGTTGGAAGACATGCACACACACACACCCCCTTATTACAACATTGTACCCTCGCGACGGAGGGTCCAAATGAACAAGCTAAGCCAATCTAAGCTAAGCTAATCAACTAATCTAATTAAGCTAATTAGACTAATTGTTACAAATCAAATTGAATAACAAGTAAACTACTTACTAATTGTTACAACAATCAACTAATTAGCACACTAATTAATTAAATTACAAAACCAAATGTACATCAAATAAACAAATAAAATGCTAACTCCATTGCCTCA